TTCCTAGGAGGTTGCTCCTCGCACCGAGGGACATTCTAAGGACTCCAGGAGAGACGGTTTAGGGTTTAGAGTTTAGGGTTTAGGGTTTAGGGTTTAGGGTTTAGGGTTTAGAGAGACCCCTAACAGGGACCCTGAATCCCATGACCTTAAATAACCATTGTATGGTCCTTATATACCCCTTATATAGCCAGGTAGTCCCCATATTAACCCCAATAACCTAAAAGGATCCCTATGAAGGGTCCCTCCTAAAGCCCTTAGAGATGTGCCGTCAAGGCTGAGGTTCTCAAAGAAATGCGGGAGCTGCTGGAGGACCGAAAGCCCTCTGCACGGTTTCGGGTTTGGGGTTTAGGGCTTCGGGCTTAGGGTTTAGGGTTTGGGGTTTGGGGCTTAGGGTTTGGGGTTTGGGGCTTCGGGCTTAGGGCTTAGGGTTTAGGGCTTAGGGCTTGGGGCTTAGTGTTTAGGGTTTAGGGCTTGGGGTCGCCTGGAACGAATCAGCTGTCCTGGTGTGACGATGCAAGCCAGTTGCAGAAAAGGGTTTTAAAGTTTAAGGCCGACTTCCCAAGCCCGGATGCCAAAAAGGGTTTAAAGTTTAAAGTTTAAGGCTCAGGGTTACGGTTTAGGGTTCAATGCAAACTAAACATGTGAATGACCTGAAACCTTGATACCGCCGAACCGCCACCGCCCAATAAATATCCCACAGCTTCAATGTTACAGTAAAGCCCAAAAGTTGGAAGCCCAATAGCCTCAATCCTTACGAGTAATGTATAGGGAATCACAGCACTATTTGTCCTTAATCCGGTTTCCAACTTTTTGCGGTTTAGTATAGAAGGCTTTGGATCTGGGAAAGACTCCCTTCTTAACACGAGAAACACTCTACAGACTCTACTCTAAACTCAATCCGACAGCTCAGCAAAGCGACCCACGCAACGTACCCGAATGTTCTCTGTGACATTGTGTGCTTTGGTGATTTCCAATTAATATAGGGGCCAAAATTATTACCAATAGTGTTCGTTAGCGTTCCTTACCATAGTAAAAATGCAAAATACCCCAAAACCCTTTCTTAGTTGTTAAGGCCCCTATAGTGTGCCCCGCGCTGATCAGTCAGAGCTTTCAGCATGTCGTCGTCACCACTTCGACTTTTTTTGCATCGTGTGGGCAGCAACCAATTTTCGAGTCACAAAGAACCGCAACACCGAAACGCCCAACAGATGCCTTAATTCCTTCTAACCAACCCTTTCACCCTAAGCCCTAAACCCCAGCCCTTACAAACCAGGCATATGGTCAGCACTAGTCCTTGCGGCCTAGACCCCCTACTGCGCCACGTTTTGAGCCCTCTCTAAGCACGGCCTTTTTTCATGCCGGCAAGGAGGGAGAGTGCCTTTGCCTCAGTTTGCTAGCGCTTTCTGGGCTTGAGCACTTTTCATGGTCTCCACGGGCTTGTCTTGCTAGACTTAAGGTTTCAGCTCCAGCATATGACCACTATCATGATTCACGTATTTTCAAAGTACCGGTATGACTGAAGCGAGAATGCGGGTAAAAAGATCTCACCGATTGAACTATTGGTTGTGAGACTTGTAGCTTAGCCGCGCAGCAAGAGTGTCAGCTAGAGTCGTAAGCAGCAGCAGCAGCAGTAGCAGCAGCAGCCCCAGCAGCAGCAGACGGCGTCCCTAGTCTCAGCAGCGGCAGCCGGTTCATCCATCTGCCTCCGAGATTTGAGCAAAACCTTCGACGAAGCGATCGAGGAGGAGAAGGAAAGGTGATGCCGGCCTGGTCAATTATGGGATCCGCTGACAAGCCTGCCTTGGACCAGAAGTTAAATCAAGGTGAGGGTCAAAGTTCAAAGTATGTCATGGCGGAAAGAAAGCATCAACAGAATGCTTTACAGTCATGTGGGTGGTTGTCAAAATCATGGTCCCTTTTTGTGGGGTCCTTATTATAATACGGCACCTATTATTTAGGGTACCCCAAAAGGGACCATAATTTTGACAACTACCCATGTGGGAGTTGTTCCCTTCGTGTGCTTCTGAATCTGAATGCCTCGACCCCAAGGCCCTAGGCATTTCACACGCGGGGACTACTTGGAGGATCATGGGGCTTAGTAAGTAGGGTTATAAATAAAATAGCTATAGTTATAACCCCAATTAGGGTACTTATAACCTTACTTACTAAGTCCCATGATCCTCCAAGTAGGTGTTCACGTGTTTCTGGGGGTGTGTGCTGTTGCTTAGGCATTCCGCCTCCACCACTAGACTAGTTCTTCTTGTGTGCAGTTGCTGAGATGACTGCCGCCGTGACATGTGCCGTGTTTCTTTCCGCTACGGGTGTCATGTCTACCTGCTGCCTTATCACAGGTCTTCGAATCTTGTATGTACTTGTTCTCTTGCGATGTCAATCCCTTCAGTTGTTTACGTGTGTGACATTTCTGTTCAATAGCCCAATTGTCACTATGATCTTCTTGTTTTAGAAGAAACCGCAAACATTAAAAAAGGCGTATAAATGCCCCGGTAGAAGCTTTACGGAAGCCTTACCCTAAACCCTCAACCCTAAACCCCAAAGCGGGCTTGTCCTTGCTAAGTAGGAGGCAAAAAAACCCCAAAGCCTAAACCCTAAATCCCCAAACCCGAAACCCCAAAACTCTAAACCCCAGCCTTACACACCAAATCTTCCCAAAACGCCCTGATCCCGTTGTGAACGGTGGCGCCTTGGCCAGGCAAGAGCGCCTGGAAGCGCTGCAGCTAGGTTGCGATAGGGTTTTAGGGTTTAGGGTTTCTAGAGTTTCCCGGCTGCTTGCAAGAGTCCTGGATGCAAGGGTTTATATAGGGTTTAGGGTTTATTTGGAGGATCATGGGACTTAGGATGTAAGGTTATAAGTGCCCTAATTGGGGGTATAACTATAGTTACCTTATTTATAACCCTAGTTACTACGTCCCATGATCCTCCAAGTAGAGTCTAGGGTTTAGGGGTTTAGGGGTAGGTCGCAGCAGGCCAGTTGGAAAGGGTTCCGGGTTTAGGGTTCAGTGTCTTGCTTGTTCAGAGAACGGCATGATGCTTCCAGGCGTGAACTCGGCAAGCTCGTGGATAAGGGTTTACGGTTTAGGGGAGTATGCTTTGGGGTTTTGCTCGCAAGAACTACTGTTTCGGCTATAGCTGTCCTTACCACTACCTGCTGTTGCTATTGGGCGTCTGCAATGGGTAGTGTGAGTGCGACATCCACCAATCTTTACCTTGTTTTTGGTCTCGCTTCTTCCCCCTATCGCACACTAGCAGGCTTCCTTGGAGGTTCAGGGGCGCGACTTGTTCAATTGGTGTTACCGTAGTTACTACTAGCCCTAGGTCGTTGCTTGGAGGTCTTCTTGCGGCTTGAGCGAAGAATCGGGGAGATACAGATTGCGAGAAGAAAGGTCAGAAAAAAAGAACACCGGAGTCAGCAGACAGCCCTGGTTGGAGTAGATTGAATAGATGTCAGCCCGTCAGATACAGAAGTAATGGAGGCCGCCACGAAGCAAGGAACGAGATCCGGAAAGATGCTCCACGAACAGAAATAATTCCCCGGATTCATGCCATGTTGCCGTTTGATGGCTGGTGGTTTCGGTTCTCGAAAATCCAAGCACAAGGGCTTTGAGCTTGAAGTTAACGGCTCGAGAAATAAGGGAGTTTCTGTTCGCCTGCTATTGCCCCAATCTGAAAGAAGATGAGGCCACCTGCCCTCAAGCGTAATTCCTAAACCCTAAACCCCAAAGCCCTAAAAGCCTAATCCCTGGACCAAAAAACATCAAGGCCCTAAATCCTAAACCCTTAAAGCCCTAAACCTCTTTGAAACCCTCCCTTAAAGGAAGTTTGAAGAGGAACCCTTCAAGGATCCCTTAAAGGAACCCCACTAAGGACCCCTTAAAGACCCTAAACCCTAAGCCCCTTAATGGCCAATGTGCTTTCGCCTCGTACCAGGAACCTCGCCTAGGCAAGTCCGAGAGTGAAGGCTGAAACCCTTCAAAGACCCTAAACCCTAAAC